GCTTCAGTTCCTGCTTCCAGGTTCCTGCCTTGCAAGCCTGGCCTGACTTCCTTCAATAGCGGACTGTAACATAAAGAATAAGACAAACAAAACCCTTTCTTCCGTAGTTTGATTTTGGTCTGTTGAAATAAGAGCGGTGGGGCTGCATCCCCAACACCCCGGCCGCTTGGCTAGCTCACGCCCGAAATAACAACACACAAACTGTATTCATTTAAAGAACTGCTTGGCCCATGAACTCTAGCCCTTACAGGCTAATTCTCGCACCTGGACTAGCCCATTTCTAATAATGTGTGTAAGCACCCCAAGGTGCGCTTACCGGGAAGATTCTAGCCTACATCCATCTTCATCGTGTGTGCCTCAGAGAGCAGAGCTATCGCGACTACCCGGGAGAGCTGAGCATGGCGTCTGTGATCCGATGGCGTCTGTGATCCGGAGAGCAGAGCAGAGTCTGACCTCACTTCCTCTTCCGCCCAGAATTCTATTCTGTTTACTCCTCCCATCTATGTTCCAAGCCATGAGGCCAAGCAGCTGGTTTATTATAACTTAACCAATGAAATCAACAGATTGATATATGACACTCCCACATCATTGGTCATGACGTTTTATAATAGCAATAAAACCCTAAGACTGTGGTCCTTTTTAGGTTCCCCCAACTTCTCTCCTTCATATACCATGGCTGGTTTTGCTCTTCTCTAGAAAAAGAAATCCTACTTTTAAAACCCTACAATCCAACTGGGCAGTTGTGGTGCACACCTTTAATCCTAGCACTCGGGAGGCAGAGGCAGGCGGATCTTTGTGAATTTGAGGCCAGCATGGTCTATAAAGCTAGTTTCAGGACAGCCAGGGCCACACAGAGAAACCCTGTCTCAAAAACAAACAAATAAAACGTTATGATCCACACCCCTCCTTTCTCTAGTTTGCTGCCCCATTTCCTATTCTCTATCACAAAAGTCAGAGAATTTGATGTCAAAGCATGGACCCTCTCCAGAAGGGATGCAGCTGTCATGGTCAATGTGTCATTATGTATTCTGACTGGGGTTGAGGGTTGGACGTGTTGGGCATGAGCAATATGTTGAAAGTATTCCAGCATTCATGATTTGTGTCCTCTTTCATATGCATAGAAACTTCTGGAAGGGCTTGCATGATGGTCACAATGTTAGCTGTAGTTATTCTAGCAGTTGAATTACAATGGATTTTAATTTTCTTTCTTTGGATCATCTCTGTGTTCTATTTTATTATTATGATTAGTCATTCCTTGATCATTTTTTCTATTTTTAAAATTTCTGTTGGAGTATATCTTGATTAACGTATAAAAATAGCTTCTTGGGATTTTTTTCAATATGAAGTTGAGAAGCAAATATGCTAACTTTCAAGTTAAAATACATTCTTTTTTAAGTTTTTTTATTTATTGTGTATATAGTGTTCTGTCTATCTTCTTGCTAGCCATATGAGGGCACCAGTCTCATTACAGATGGTTGTGAGCCACCACGTGGTCGCTGGGAATTGAACTCAGGTCCTCTGGAAAGCAGTCAGTGCTCTTAACCTCTGAGCCATCTCTCCAGCCCCTTAAAATACATTCTTTATCCCAAATTTGGCTCCAGACAGACACTGGACTTGAGCCAGCCATCAACCAATATAGGAAGACTTTACTTCTGTATCTCAAAGCATAAGCTTCATAAGTGATCATAAGTGAAGGGAAGAGGCAAGGACCGGGTGTCTTAGTTAAGGTTTCTATGCTATGAAAGGACACCATGACCATGGCAACTCTTATAAGGAAAACATTTAATTTAAGAGGCTCACTTACAGTTTCAGAGGTTCAGCCCATTATCAGCATGGCAGGGAGCATGGCAGCATACAGCCAGATGTAGTGCTGGAGGAATAGCTGAGAGTCCTACATCTTGCAGGCAACCGGAAGTCAACTGAGACACTGGGCAGTATCCTGAGCATAGGAAACCTCAAACCCTGTCCCACAGTGACACACTTCCTCCAACAAGGTCATACCTACTCCAACAAAGCCACACCTCCTAATAATGCCACTTTTTATGAGATTATTGGGGCCAATTACATCCAAACTACCCTACCAAGTAAGGCAGTGGTCATGGTCTCCCTCATCTGAAACTGGGCACAACTGTCGCATGTCCCTGTGAGGCTAAGCAAGGTAACACATATGGTAGACTCCTCACAGGGCCAGCATATGTGAGTACTTTGTGGATTTCTTTCACTTAGCAGCCAATCAGTGACTTTAGACATGCAGCCCTGAACTGAGGGACATGGTTGTCATAACTCATTAGATAAAGATGGAGCCCCAGAGGAGTGGTCCATCCACTGAGGAGCAAGTGGTATTCATTAACTGCTTATTGCCGGGTTTACTGCTAAGCACTTTTGTTTATATACTGATGCTTTTGTCCTATGCTCTCTGAGATAATTTTAGTAATTACTGTATCTCTGTCCTTGTCTCAGAAGTCTATTCTGGCTTTGGTCAGAACACACACCTACCAGGTGGTAAGAGATCTATTTGTATACGTACAATAGATAAGGGCTGTCTGTTTGACTTTTCAATGCCTCGATTTGCTCATCTATACATTAAAAATAATTATACTCATTAATATTACATGGGTTATTGTAAGAGTGAGACGAGTCAATGCATACAAAGTTCAGAGACCAGTGCCTGGCCTGTAAGCCACTCATCACTGACAGTTGATATCATTACTGTTGTTATTTGTCTCTCCTGTAGGGTACTCCTTCAGGGCCAGGTCACAGTTTTATTAATTGGTGTATTCATAATGAAGCCTAAAAAACAACTAAGTGATGGAGGTGGGTTTTGTATCTTATCTGTTGCTTTCATTGGTTAATAATAAAGAAACTGCCTCGGCCCTCATAGGACAGAAAATTAGGTAGGCGGAGTAGACAGAAGAGAATGCTGGGAAAAAGAAGCTTAGTGGAGGAGTTGCCATGATTCTCCCACTCCAGACAGACGCAGGTTAAGATCCTCTCTGGTAAGCCAGCTCGTGGGCTACACAGAATAATAGAAATGGGTTAGAACAATATGTAAGAGCTAGCCAATAAGAGGCTGGAACTAGCCGGGCCAGGCAGTGTTTAAAAAAATACAGTTTCTGTGTAATTATTTCGGGCATAAGCTAGCCATGTGGGTGGCCGGGTGCCGGGGATGCAGCCCTGCCGCTCTTATCGCTACAACTAAGCACTGAAAACAGCAATTGTCCCATGAGGAAAAGAAATCTATGACTTATGCTGCAAGCAGAGGGCATGGAAGGTAGTCCTTCCTGAGTGGATATCAGATGGTTCCAGGGACTGGTGTTCGGAGGGATGTGGTGCTTCCTAGGGCTGCTGGAGTTTAAGAGTCGGTGTCTTAGTTAAGGATTGTATTGCTATGAGGAAACGTTATGATCAACAAAACGTGGGGAGGAAAGGGTTTATTCGGCTTATACTTCCACAGCGCTTTTCATGATTGAAGGAAGTCAGGACAGGAACTCAAGCAGGGTAGGATCCCGGAGGCAAGAGCTGATGCAGAAGCTATGGAGGGGTGCTGCTGGCTGGCTTGCTCTCATAGCTTGCTCAACCTGCTTTCTTGTAGAACCAGGGGTGACCAGCCCAGGGATGACACCACCCACAAAGGGCTGGGTCCTCCCCCGCCAATCACTAATTAAGAAAATGCCTTGCAGCTGGATCTCATGGAGACATTTTCTCAATTGATGTTCCCTTCTTTCAGATGTCTCTAGCTTGTGTGAAGGTGACATAAAACTTTCCAGGGCAGATGGTAAATGCCAGACAGTAGTTCAGTTGAACTACGGAGAGCAGCATCCTGAGTCCCAGGGAGTCCTCGCAGCTTGCCTGTGTGTCATGCAGATCATTAGCATAGGAATTGTGATAAAGAAAGCGGACCTTCCATCTTAACTTCAGACACACCCCATGGGGAACTGGATGGAACTTCTAAAGCCAGAGCAAGTCTCAAAATATTATTGAATGGGGCTGGAGAGGTGGCTCAGTGGTTAAGAGCATTGCCTGCTCTTCCAAAGGTCCTGAGTTCAATTCCCGGCAACCACATGGTGGCTCACAACCATCTGTAATGGGGTCTGGTGCCCTCTTCTAGCCTGCAGACATACACACAGACAGAATATTGTATACATAATAAATAAATAAATATATTTAAAAATATATTATTGAATGACAAGTGCCTTATGGTGACCTCGTGAGAAACAGATGTGCCGTGGGTTCAGGGAGGCAAGACAGACATTAAGCAAATACAAGCGTGTCCAGGATAAGCGGGAGTGGGTGGGAGCTAACCTTGTTTCCATCTGTGGAAAGACTGAAAGGCAACTGAGAACTGGGGCAGGCCAAGAGTCTTTGATGGTCGTGGGCCCTGACACCAGACACTGAGGGTAAAGGAAGCCCCTGAGCAGGGTGGAAACCCTGTGGTAAGACTCAAGAGTTAACTTCTGCTGGGCAACATGGTGGCAGATGTCAGGCAGCAGGAGCAAAGGTAGTGCTATCCCTCTCTAACCTAACTCAGAGAGGTGCCCTGCCTAACGCACACTGTAAATTCACAGAAGGACATATTCTCTCTTCTGACTGCAGATGCGTAGCTCCGCTCACCTCGGTGCCATTAATCTCTCACCTGGGAGTAATCTGGCATTAAGCATCATTATATATTAGGGAGATGGAAGATGTGGGAAGGAAGACCATGTGTGGGTAGCAAACAGCATTGATGAGTTCATACTGCACAGTGGGATATGCCCAGGGCAACACGCCACTCCAGGCGACTTTGAGCAAATGATTTAACTGCTCTGGCCTCAGTTTCTTTTTTACAGTGGAACTTGACTTAAAGACCCTGAGGCATTGAACTTCAATTCCAAATCTTCTCTGCATTATACAGAAACTTCCTTTTAGGCAAAATCTTAACAGTTAGATTTGCTGGCCTTCAGAAAACTCACTTCCCAGACAATGATCATTAATAAATCGCTGGGCTTTGTTTGATCCCGCAGACTGAGCCCGAGATCATAGAGGAAACCAATGTCGACAGAGTCCATGAGCCCCGGGGCTACGGCAGGGCGCGGCAGGTGAAGGGCCACTCAGAGACCTCCACGCTGAGCTCGCAGCCTTCCATCGACGAAGTCCGGCAGCAGATGCACATGCTTCTGGAGGAGGCCTTCAGCCTGGCATCCGCCGGCCACGCGAGCCAAAGCCGGCACCCGGAGGCCTACGGCTCTACGCAGCACCTGCCGTACTCAGAGGTGGTGACCAGCGCTCCAGGGACCATGACGCGGCCCAGGGCTGGAGTGCAGTGGGTGCCCACCTACCGCCCAGAAATGTACCAGTACAGTCTGCCCCGGCCGGTAAGTCACACCTCCTGCCTGCCTACCATCTCTGGGTCTGCTTCCCCCACTGCAGTCCAACAGGGGACCCAAAGCAAGGATAAGAGATGAGCTATGCTGGACTCTATACTCATAGTTAACTCGTGACTCACAGCCACACCTTGTTCTTGTGGGACAGATCCCCGAGGAGGCTTATGTGAAACCTTAACCCATTTTAGAGGCATTTCCACTTCTGCTATCACTCCTGAAAAGGTTGACCCCATTCTCCACTCACTGGTGGTTTTTTCCACTTTCAGACATGAAACCCAATTTAAATGTCAAAAGGCATCAAAGAGCGCTGTGTGAAAAGCCTGTGCAAGCCGGTGGCTACGGACATAGGCTGTGAGCAAGGTGGCTTGACTGTGAATCCTATCGTGACCACGTCCTGGCTTTCCAACTTGAGGGAGTTGTTTCACGTTTCTCCTGGCAAAAATAAATAAATATGAACAATAGCCTAGTGCCTAGGAAGCAGAGAGTCCCTCTCTAAGTACATAAGAGTTCATTAGCACGTGCTGCGTTGATCTGGGTGTGACTTGTACCTTACGCAGTCTGTACAATGAACCTCTGAGACAAGTGAAGGACGGTTTTATTCCTAGTTTACAGAAGAGGGTGTCCAGTCCCCCGGAATCTTAAGGTATAAACATTTGCGAGATACTGTGTGGATGCTAGGAATGCAACCCTGGCCTTCCAAACGAGCCTGCTCTTAACCCTGAGCCATCGCTCCAACCCCCAACACTCAGCGTATTAGCCATTTGAAAGCACACAGTTTGGTGGCGTTCACATATTCATATCTTGTGCGACTGTCTCCAGGCCTCTTCATCTTGCCAACAGGATACTCTGTACTCATTAAAAGACGACTCCCTTGTCTCCCTGCCCATAGTCCTGGAAACCACTGCTTACCTCTGTCTATAAAGTTGGCCACTTTAGGTACTTCATACATAATATTTGTCTTTATATAATTGGTATATTTTCACTTAGCATAGCCGTCATGTTTAATCCATGTAGCACGCATCCAAAGGCCCTTCCTAAATGTTAAGCTGAGTCGTACTAAAATGTACATACCACGTGGTATCTGTTTGTCTGCCAATGTGTGTGGACTTGCGTTGTCTTCGCCCTTGGGCCACGGTAAATTGTGCTGACACTCACACGGGTACAGATATCTCCTCCGGTTCTTGCTTTCATTCTGTGGGCCGTCTGTCTACCACGAGTAAGGGTTCTGGATCACATGGGGTTCTGTTTTGTCCTGGCATTGTTTTCCGCTATGGCTGTACCATTTTTCATTCTCTCCAACAATGAATTTCTTTTCTGGGCGGGGATTGTTTATTTGTTTTGTTTTTGTTTTTTGAGACAGGGTTTCTCTGTAGCTTTGGAGCCTGTCCTGGAACTAGCTCTTGTAGACCAGGCTGGCCTTAAACTCACAGAGATCCACCTGCCTCTGCCTCCCAAGTGCTGGGATTAAAGGGGTGCGCCACCACCACCTGGCTCTAATATGAATTTCTGATTTCTTCACACCTCACCAATGTTTGTTAATTTTTGTTCTCTTGATAGTAGGCACCCTAATGAGTTTGAGGTGGGTCTATTACGGCTTTGTCGGCACTTCTCTAAAGATTAGTGATGTTGAGCTCCTTTCTGTGGTTTTGCTTGCCACTCATATGTCTTCTTAACATAATTTAAAAGATACAATATACTTTGGAGCGACGCCTAGGTCTAAGGCATCTAAACTTGTCGTTGCCATCAGAAGACTTTGGGGGCTACACTTTAGAAGCTCTGTATTCCTAAAGCATGTATGTCAACAACACTAAGGCCACTCCAGTCACATTCCCAAAGGCCTGGATCTGAAAAGATGGGAAAGTCTCTCTCGGATTTACATATTTGCCATTATAAAACCCTTCCCCAGCAGGGTGTGGTGATGCACACCTTTAATCCTAGCACTTGAGAGGCAGAGGCAGGAAGATCTCTGTGAGTTCAAGGCCAGCCTGGTCTGCAGAGCTAGTTCCAAGACAGCCAGAGCTACAGAGAAACCCTGTCTTGTAAAAACAATGAATACATACATACACATATATACATACATACATACATACATACATATATATACACATACATACATACATACATACATAAAATGCTTTCCCACATCATCATCCATGTTACAGTTTCTAAGATCACAGTGTTCTGAAAATGCACATTAGATTGGCCCCTGTCCCATTCTGGGAGGGAATTTTCTCCCTGAGGGCTACAAATACCCCAATCTAAACACATTTATACACCTCTCCTAGGGAGTTGCCCTCTGGGAAAAGGCCACTCATATCCAGTGTCGATTACCACCAACTTCAGTCTCATTGACTCATAGTTTCCAGTCTCTGTATGAGGATCCCTAAACTTGACCCCTAGCCCAAAGTGGAATGGTGCCCTCAACCTGATAATCTCAGGGACGCGTTCTGAGAATCAGAGGCTGCATACACTGGTGGTGATAAGGGGTCTGTTAGCTCCTGACTCGCACAGGACTGGCGCCTAGCAGACACCCTAGACCAGTTGGTTGATAAGCAGCAGACTTCTTGGCATGGTGCCAGCACATCAAATTATTTGACAGACTGTGCTCATTATCAAACTAGTTCTTGTGTTTTTGCTGGGCCCACTGACTCTGTCCCTGTCCATTCGGAGGCCACGTCTCCTTCTCCTGCTCTGTAAAGCCCTTTTAGGACACACTCTCGATGCCCCACCTCAGGGTCCCAAGGAAACATTACTTTTGTTTGGTGACAAGTCTCGAGAGCCACTAGGCACCCCTGTCTGGAGGCTGATTCTAGGAACCCATGAGAGCTCTGGGTTTCAGAAAGAAGACCTTAGGTGACCGAGAAAGGTCTTCCAATCAGTGACGAGCGAAGACCTTAGGTGACCAAGAAAGGTCTTCCAGTCAGTGACAAGCGAGCTGTTGCCACAGCCCGTACACCTGAGTTCAATAAAGCTATTGAACATGAGCTGGTGAGACATGTGAACACTCGGGCATCTGTTTGCTGTAATTGGGAGCTGGCAATTGTACTGAACAGGATACATGGATCAGAAAATAGGGATGCTTCATAGGGAAAAGGTCTGAGGTATATGGCTACCTCAGGACAAACCATCAAAGCAGAACATACTAAAGAGCACCCACTCATCAACAAGGTTTCCTGCTCTGCCAAGTGCACAGAGGACTCTTGTCTCCAGGAAAGGAGAAAATAGCCAACAATACCCAGTGGAGCTGATGCTGCTGAACCCAGGGTCTTGCAGAGATCCCTGTGCTGTGATGATGTGAAAATCAGCAGAAAAGGCAACAAGATAACTGTGACTACTTTTGCCTTAAGAAAAGAAAGAAAGAAAAAAGGAAAGAAAGTGCTCCAAACTCTGCTGGAGGGATAATTGAAAGCTGGTGTCTTTAATGTGCCAGGACCAGCCTTGTGGGATTTACACCATGGGGAATGTTACTGCTGGCATCTTGGGACTTCTACTGAGCAGTTTATGAAGTTTTGCTCATCTTTTTACCTCTTGAATCTACAAAGAAATTGAATTTGACACCTAATGACCGGTCCAATTTTGCTAGCAGCCATACTGGGTCTATGCCAAATACAGTGAAGATAACCTACAACTTCCTTGCTGGCAAGAGTGTAAGGATTCTTAAAAAGGCGTTAGGCTTGAAACATCTTCCCCACTGGACTCTAGAGAAGAACCAACAGAACTGCTAATAAGAACACTTGCTGTCTATTAGTTCACGTTGTTGGCTGCATACTGATGTAAGTGCTGTGTAGATGCGATCTCTCCTAATCTGTCAACCCTCCTGTAATATTGCTATCTCGAGCCCTAGTACTCAGTTAGAAAACAGGTTTGGAGAGTGGTTGCACAAGTTTGCATTCCCACCAGCAATGGATGAGTGTACCCCTTTCTCCACAACCTCTCCAGCAAAGGTTATCATTGGTGTTTTTGATTTTAGCCATTCTGACAGGTGTAAGATGGTATCTTAAAGTTGTCTTGATTTGCATTTCCCTGATCGCTAATTGAAGAATGGATGAAGAACGTATGGAATATATACATATTAGAGTACTACTCAGCAGTAAAAAACAAGGACTTCTTGAAGTTTGCAGGCAAATGGATGGAAATAGAAAACACTATCCTGAGTGAGGTAAGCCAGACCCAAAAAGAGGAACATGGGATGTACTCACTCATATTTGGTTTCTAGCCATAAATAAAGGACATTGAGTCTATAATTCGGGTTCTTAGAGAAGCTAAATAAGAAGGAGAACCCAAAGAAAAACATATAGGCATCCTCCTGAATATTAACCTTCATCAGACGATGAAAAGAGACAGAGACAGAGACCCACATAGGAGCACCGGACTGAAATCTCAAGGTCCAAATCAGGAGCAGAAGGAGAGAGAGCATGAGCAAGGAACTCAGGACCGCGAGGGGTGCACCCACACACTGAGACAATGGGGATGTTCTATCGGGAACTCACCAAGGCCAGCTGGCCTGGGTCTGAAAAAGCCTGGGTTAAAACAGGTCTCACTGAACATAGTGGAAAATGAGGACCACTGAGACCTCAAGAACATTGGCAATGGGTTTTTGAGCCTACTGCACGTATTGGCTTTGTGGGAGCCTAGGCAGTCTGGATGCTCACCTTACGAGACCTGGATGGAGGAGGGTGGTCCTTGGACTTTCCACAGGGCAGAGAACCCTGATTGCTCTTTGGGCTGACGGGGGGAGGGGGGAATTTGATTGGGGGAGGGGGAGGGAAAGGGGAGGCGGAGGTGGGGAAGAGACAGAAATCTTTAATAAATTAAAAAATAAAAAAATAAAAAAAAATTAAAAAAACTGAAAAAAAAGAAAAGAAGACAGGTTTGGAGAAACGAAAGAACTTACCTAAGTTTCTCACAATCACCCTTGATGTCTATGGGGAACAGGTTCGAGACCCCTCAAAAAGCAACAAAACTCCTCAATACTCAAGTCCCTCCTAGGC